TTAAAGTCCAGAAATTTTTTTCATGTTAATTTGCAATTGCTTAAATTGCAATCGCCACTGCGGCGATTATATCTTCATTAACTTTGCTGCTTACTTCCACCCGGCGCTTCAATTTATTTCCTGAAATGGAACTACCTTTCTTGGACATCACCCTACGCATTTCTGATGCTAGGATTCAAACCTCAGTCTACTACACTCACAACTACCTCAATCTCACTTCTTTCTATCCTCATCACTGCAAACATTCTATCCCTTACAGCCAGTTTCTCCGGCTGTGCTGCCTTTACTCTAATGGTGATGACTCCCTTCTGTGATCAAGGCAGATTGATTCACCCTTTACTGTCCGTGGTTATTCCCGTTCCTCTCCCACAAACTATCTACAAAGGGTAGCAACCATTATCCGTCCAGATACGCTGCACCACAGCTTAAGGTTAAGAAACATGTTGGTCTACTCCACTGATCACTCTTTTACCGAGCAGCCGTCAGCGTCTACGATGCAAAAGCTGCAATCACATCAGTCTCGTCGCTGCGATACGAGGCCGTTAAGTGTTCCTTTTCTATCCGTGACAATTTCACCTGCCAATCCCAGAATCTTGTTTACTGAATACCCTACCGCCGATGGCCTTTTCTTTACATTAGTGGAACTGGACGAAGCCTTAGGAGTCGTTTTAGCGAACATTAGCGAAGCATACGCAGCAACACTTTAAGGTTTGCTGTGGCCCAACACTTCAGCTCCGCGGGCCACAGTATTTCTGATGTCCAGGTGCGTAGTGCGGCTGTATGAAGTGGAGCCAGCATCCAACGAAAGCGGCTTCAGCCGAAAGGAATTAATATCGATTTCAACTTCCTCTGAATTGTAACATGCATCTTGCCGGCGCTACTATTTACAAACGCACACGCTGCAATTTAATTTATAATGACAATTGCGTAGTGCAACGGTTTTCTCAACATTGAAGAGGATTTATACACCGAAACGTCTCTTTCTTCAAAGACATTTCTGATTCATTATGAAAATTTGTTAGAATATCATCCCATAAGCTACCTTACCCAAGAACTGTCTTAGTGGGTGTTAACACCACTAAATGACTATGACCTACAATGGAGGTGAAATGTTTTTGGCCCTTTCCGTTTATATAGGTAAAAGCAATTCCTCCTTTCCCTCAAACAATGATCAATCGAGGGAAAAACCTAAAGCCAATAAAAAATGTCAATAGGATCAGAGTCCTGTGTAACAATTGCTATTTTAGCTGTCCCAAGTTCTCTTGACAATCTAGTTATGGCTACTGACAGCCCACTGGTTCTGGCCTTATATTGCAGTACTCAGCGTAAACGAAGTTATGGTTTGGATGCCACATTTCTTTATTGACTGCCACTATTACAAACATATAGAAAATAGCTGTACTATGATTAAAGAAGTACTAAGAGGAGACTAAATTTTAACATGACGCTGCATCTCGCTAGATAGGTCTAAATATCGTGAATCATAAAAAACGATGTTCACAAATGAACTCCAGAGGGCGTCGATCCCTTATTCTCCTGTTAGGCATTGCAACTTTTGTTTCGTTCTCTCTAATCGAGGAACAAAGTTCCCCAGACATTTTCGAAGGGTGTGCTAAAAAAACCGCAACCTTCGTATCTTGAAGTCACTCAACCTGGCTGTTTCTTGCACACAAAACGTATTCGTAATGCTAACCATTTAAATGCTCAGGGCTTAGATAATTACATCAATGCCGACACTTACTGAACTACAATCGCTTTAGAAAAAAAAATGTATTGGGATGCATCTCAAGTGAATATGTAACATGTACCCAAATTTTAATTTGACACCTCTGATCTTGCATCTTCGAAGTGGAACACATGGAATGATAGTACTAAACAGGAATTTTAAAATAGCATTTTATTAACACAACTTGCCCAAAGAGCAAGGGAGCGAAATTATACGAGCTGAGATACTCAAGCTACTTATGAAACTAGAGGTAATCATTGTGTACGGATCCGCGTTCGCCACTTACGGAAAAATGACGGAAACGAAATCGAGTCGAAAGGAGTCTAACGGCTGAGGTGCCCCCGATGAAATTAATAGGGGCGGCTACTTTGCAGTCGCTCCTGATAGCTCGAAAATTCCTGCCTTAGTGCCACAGGAACACCGGATTAGGACGCGTTTTGGCGAATGCAACGACTCCTGGGTTTACACCTTTCACAGCCTGCAAAGAGTAGCAGATAGTTGGACACATTTGTGGTCAGTCATGAGGAGAAGCTACAATCAAGGAAAGATCGAAACTGGACATGCTTTATGGTTACCTTGACAAACGCATGCATTACCTGAAGAGATTCAAACTGACACAACCAGTCCTTGATACGAGATTCTTGTTGAAAGGTGGAAGTGGAGACGATCTTCGAAAGGAGCGATCCATGACCAGATTTCACAATCATGGCTGTAAGGGACGACAAAAAATCTCTGCAAAAAAATAATTATAGCTGTTAAGACACATTCTCTGTCTTGAGTGGGAAATGTGAATTCAAATGTAAGAGATAAGAAAGTCCACTGCAATAGATCTTCTACCAATTTACGCGTGCATATTTCTAAGAACGCAGTCATAAGACGGAATCTTGGATCATGCCAAAGTCTGGTGCGGTGAACTTTCCCTTGACCAACGTGACACAAAAACTAAATTACCACTTAAAATTTGAATACCAGTTTAAGCAAGTGGCTTACAGTGAGCAGCCGATAACCGAACGACCCATTCAAGCAATTAAGTACACTAAACGTGTATTTCAAAACCGGGTCAATTTATCTCTGTTTGCTTAACTTAAGGCCTGTTTTCCATTATAACTCTCCGGATTGTCGTGATCGTCTGAGCTCTTCCCAGATCCATATGCGTCATCAAGATGATCAGATCGAAATGCCAAAGTTGTGACATAAGATGATGGCACTGGTCTGCACAGAACTGAGGTCTACATGGACGATAGGATTGCAGTGATAGTGAAGAATGACTGGCAATCATATTAAAATCACCCACAAAAAATTGAGACCTTCGGGGGAATCAATTCCCAGAATTCAACGTTAAGTAATATTATTGAACAAGTAGTTGCTATAGACGAGTGAGAGCCTAGACGACTTATGGAAACCAATGAATTGCACCAATTGTCTCGATCTCATCAAAGTGCTTCGATGTTCCAATAGGACCGAACTTTCGCTGTAACTTATCTTGAATCGAATGCAGAGACTGAAAATTGCACTTTTGTATTTATCAGACATAAGGAAGGTAGAAGCGGGTTAAGAGCACACGTCCATGTAGGATACACATACGATCTGTATTCATTTATTGATTTCGTTAGCCCTCACTTAATTTCGCCAATCAGGTCACGGTAGCTTTTGTGACGAATAAACGTAAAGGATATACTGTTCGTCCGGGCCCAGTAAGAAAACACATTATAGGCTTGCCAGAACAAAAAGGTTGGCCTGATTTTTCCTTTAGGTCTTCCCTTAAAAATAGAAATACTGATCCTAAAAATCGTAACCTGTAAATTGCTGCTACTGAAGAGACCTACAACTTCGCAAAGAGGAAAGTGAAAAAGGTTCAAAACATGCCAGACGCTCTGCCGTGAAGAAAACAAGGTTGAATTCCTCGAAGGACAATTTCGTAATGAAAAGCTTTCGTTTCTCCACAAAAAGGCATATAAGCATTCTTTTGAACTTTCCCTTTACATTTGCATCTTTTATCAGTGTTTTCAACCTTGAAATGCAAAACTTTTGACTTGAAAACCACCGCATGGTGAACGAACACCAGCCATTTTGTTGAAAATGGATGTTCTTTACTAAGGTGTCAAATCCGTTTCTTCTCTACCTTTTAAGATTCCGATCGGTTAGTCATTCCTAAAACCTTTTGAAACAACAGGGGAGGAACTCGTGTCTACTTAGTCCCTCCCGAAAAAAGTCGGAACGTACGGATGTACGTACGGTGACGTCATGGCGAACCTTGCTCGCATCGATAGGTTTCCATTTTCTACAGCAATGGAGGCTCCGCTACTAAAACAATTATTCTTTTTAATCTTGGTGAATAGTGGCCTTAGGAATTTTTACCTCAATTCCAAAGAAGCGAGGGTCATAAGGCCAGCGAAGCGAGTATATACTTTAGTCACGCGCGGATCGTGTGTGGATCATTTGACCCATTTGTATTTGCATCTACAAATCTTTACATTGTTTTGCCTCTGAGTAATTAAGAGAGTGTCTCTGTAAGAGCGGTCCGGTTGATTTTGCTTGAGTCACAGACCTAGCTCATTTCTTGTGTGTTGTAAGATATTTATGTGCCTATGCTAAAACCACAATCCGTTTGATCGGATCTCTGTATTTTTCAGAGTTTTACGGAAATTAAATTTCACTCGGGCGAAGGCCTGTAGTGACACTTTTCAAGACGTTAATTTGAGGCAACTTTGGCGGACAATTTAAAAAATACTATGGGACTCAGCAAAAAACAAATACCACAGCCATGTATATTAACTCTAGGCGACTTTCGTGAACATCACGTTTCAATCAAGCAAACAGGAAGACTTGAACGACACCTTATCGGTTCGCTTAAGTCACACACGCGAAAACCGATCAAAAGGTAAATTTTTGAAAAACAGGGACCGCGCAGGGGGTGGGGCTGGGGGGGCTTAAGCCCCCTCACTTTTTTGGCTGATTAGATCACTACTTTTTGTTACTTTAGTAAACCAGGTCTGTCTTTTACAAAAAAAGTACATTACATTATTTTATGTCAAACATGCGGACCTCTTAGGAAACGCAGCCTTATTCTGATTTGTCCATTTCGATCCAATATATTTTTTCGAGGGTTTTCCCGCACAGACACGGCCAGATGAGGCAGTTTGTCGTTACGTTTGTTCCTGAACAGACGATTAGATTTTCGCCTGCGCAATAATGGTATTTAAACTCTTGTTTCTACTTCCACCCGTTGTTGGATCGGTGTTTCTCGATGGCATTGGTTTAGTTGAGTACGAAGATGGAATTTCATCACTGGATAAGCTTCAATGGGGTTTTGCAGAACGTAGTTTTTTTATCACAGCTGTTTATCGCAGTAAATATCTGAAACGGAGAATTATGTACAGCTATGGTCATCCTGGATCATTCAACCCTGCTGTTATAACGAACAAAGAAGCGCATATGATTTATGGTAACATGAACAAGGAAGCTGGCTCCTCACAAGCTACTGGTCTTGTCAAGAAGAAAAGGTCCAAAATTTCCAACTTTTTTTCCAAAACTGAACAGCGCTCTTTTGAAGGTTAGTTTAGGCTTTCGATGCTTTATTTAACTTATGCTTAAATGAAAGCCTACTACTATGTCTGTGCATCACATGTCATATATATGATCATTCTTTTTTTTTAGAGCCTGCATGCAAAAAATCTTGCCAACCAATCGCAGATAAATTGACTGATATTCAAGCTACGAAATCCACTGCTGAACCACCACAAAACCCCATGGTCCCCACCTAGCCACTAGAGGCAGAACATTCTGCATCACCGAGTCAGTCTTCAATAGACATTCATCTCCATGTAACAGAACCGTTTCAACCAACAAACTTTACTTTGCCCAAGAAAACATTTGGCAAAAACAGAATCGCTCATTTCAAGCAAAATGGTTCACTAACTTTCCCTGGCTTCATTATAATGAGCAAAGCGACTCTGTGGTGTGTTTCATTTGCGTCCAACAGAACGAAAAATTGAATCTGCGCGCTGCTAGAAAAAAAGAATGGGTTTTCATTTCGCACAGATTTTCCAACTGGAAGAAGGTTTTGGTGCGATTCAAAGAACATCAACTTTCTGAGTGTCACAAGTTGGCCATGGAGTTTCAAATAAGCATTCCTAATAGTTGCAGAAATATCATCCAAATGTCCAACAATGCAGCCAAAAAAACTATGGAGACTGACCGGTTCTGTCTGCTCAAAATTATAGAATGTTTGCAGTACCTTGTCCGACAAGCAATGCCCATGCAAGGAGACACCGACGAAGAATCTAACTTAACTCAGCTGCTCAAACTAAGAGGGAAGGATCAACCTGTCTTGTTCAAATGGCTAGAGAGGAAGGAAGATAAGTACACTTCACACGAGATTCAAAACGAAATTATTTCTATCATGGCAAATAATGTCATCCGCAATTTAGTAGCAGATATCCGTGGTGGATTTTTCATACTTATCGCTGACGAATACACGGATACAAGTAACAAAGAACAGTTAATAATATGTATCCGATGCATTGATAAACACCTGGAGGTCTCTGAAGATTTTCTTGTTTTTTTTTTTAACATACCTGATACAGGTGCAGAAACGATAGTTTCGGTGATTAAAGATGTGTCACTAAAGCTACAATTATCATTAGCTTACTGTAGAGGACAGTGTTACGACGGCGCAAGTAACATGCTTGAACATAAAACTGGCGTAGCTAAGAGAATCCAGGAAGTCCAGCCCAACGCTCATGCCACTCACTGTCATGGACATTCATTAAGTTTGAGTGTAAAGGACACAGTAAAAAACTGTAAGTTGCTCTTAAATACAATGGACACAGCAAAAGAAGTCGTAACCCTCATAAAATTTTCTCCAAAACGGGAACGTCTATTGGGAGACATAAAGGAAAACCTTGATGAACAACCTGCAACCGGAGGTGTCATAAGCCTTTGTCCTACAAGATGGACAGTGCGAGCAAGCTGCTTTCATCGCATCATAGATAATTACTCAGCTCTTCTTCAGGAGTGGATTGTGTGTCTTGACCAAAAGCTACAGACAGATGTACGTGGCAGGATTATTGGATGTCAAGCCCAAATGAATACCTTTGACTTCTTCTTTGGGCTACATTTGGGTGAGCGGCTGTTCTCGCATACAGATAACCTATCCAAAACATTGCAAAAGACAAGGATGTCCGCTGAGAGTGGACAATGACTCGCCAATCTTACAAAACAGGTCCTGCAGAAGATGCGGAATAACGAGTGCTTCAAATCATTCTATAACACAATTGCAACCAAGAGTAAAAAGCATCCTTCCATCTCGGAACCAGCCTTACCTAGGCAAAAACGAGCACCTAGCGGGTTTGAAATTGGAACAGGGCCCCCATGGTATCCAACAACACCACAGGAGCATTACAGACGCATATACTTTGAGGCGATTGACCTAATGGTCAACGCAATTGATAACCGTTTTAACCAAGCAAGTTTCGACGTGTATGCAAAGATGGAGTCTCTTTTAGTTAAGTGCCTTAATTGCCAGGATTATTCGACGGAGTTGCATTTTCTTGAAACAAATTACGGAGAGGATGTTGATGTTACAACATTGAATGTTCAACTGGAAATATTTAACGTGTTGATGAAAGACGGAGAATTTACCTGTTTTGATCACATTTTAGCCAAGATCAAGCAGCTTTCTGAAGCCGAAAAGTGTATGATAACTGAAATCATAAACCTTAGTTAAACTTCTTCCTGTAAATCCAGCAACCAGTGCAGCAAGCGAGAGATCCTTTTCTTCTGCTCGGAGACTGAAAACGTGGCTACGCTCGACGATGACACAAACAAGATTTAGCAATCTGACAATACGTAATACCCACAAGCAGAGAACAGACAAACTTTGCCTTATAGATGTTGCCAGTGAGTTTGCAGCTCTCAATGAAAATCGAAAAAGCAACTTTGGCACCTTCAAAGAATCCGACTTAAAAATGTCCGGGTGACACTCATCCGTTGCGTCTGTTGGGTTTAGCTCAGAAGTTAGTCTATTCATTTAAATTTGGTCAAACGTCCCGAGTTTGTTACTCGTTGTTTTATAAGAATTAAAAATTAACTTCACTTTTGGCAGTTTTAGATCCATTTCTAGCCATTTCAGAAGACTTCAATTTTCCCGGGGGAACATGCCCCCGGACCCCTCTAGTTGGCTCAAGCGAACGCGTTCGCATTAGCCCCCCAAGCCCCCCCCCCCCACCCCACCACTCGCAAATCCGCTCCGCGGGCCCTCATAAAGTGAGGTGTTCTTAATTGATCCAACTTTGCGGCCCGACTGTTACTAAAACTTTATAACTCCGTGAACTTACCTAATTTTCGGCAATCTCCAAGTTTGGCCGCCATTTTGAGGGACTTGTCAACATGAAGCCTAGCAGATATAAATCGAGCAGGTAGATCTAAATCCGTCAAAAATACACACGAAAGCATTCAAATGAACTTCACTTTCAATTCAAGGGGTAAAATTTGAAATTGTCCCTTTAAACCTACCGTTCCTACATCCCCATGCGACTATTTCTTCCAACAATTCAAATACTACAACTAGTGTTCGACTTCCCATCGTCGATTCCACCGTCAGAAATAACCTGTTCCACCCAATGTGAAGTACGAATCAAATAACATAACTGCTTCATCTTCGAGGCCATATCACGCTGGATTTTGATTTTCTGATCGACAAGAACGGTGATCAGGAAGTGATCGCCATGTTTACCTCATAAACGTGACCGCAGACCAGCCGCTAAGTGAAAACAGTACAGCGCGGGGTGGGGTGGGGTGGGTGGCGGGCTTATCGTCATAAGATATAAAAAGCTTTAGGACTCTCAGTCTAACCCGTGAAGGCATGCTTCGTGGTACAGACAACTTTTATTTTATTCTCAAAACTTTTTTCTTTAACTTAGAACTGGTGTTAATTAATAGAGTTATCTAAATATTTTTAACCGAGGTACCCATATGACCTTTTTGCTTGTCGTCAGTGGTATAAAATAAGGTGTCTTTTCCTCCAGAACCTTTTATTCATGCCTTATTGCACGGAATGAACACTATACTTAGAATGTTTGTTCTAAATCATTTTTGCTGTTCCCAAGAATGTATGCAAAATCATTGCTTTATACAAAGCTGACTCTAAAATATGATTTTCCGTAACAGTGACCAATGTCATTTACGTAAGGTGTTGACAAAACTAGCAATGTACAATTTTTAGCGTTTTCCACTTATAAGCCTGACATACAATTGTTAAGTGAACTATGTTAGTTTCAGCTCGTTCCTTGATTCGATGTGACCTTTTATCACTAAACCCTACTCTCTTCATTTGCAATTTTCCTGTACATTTTTTTCATACGACAACGACAAAGAGTTTTATAAGTAAACTGATTTTTTGGTCTACAACGGTTATTACATTGTATATACAAATACATGCAAAAAGGCCGGCTAAATAAGCTCCTCCCCTTGCTCCTAATTTTTTGGTTGCTTTCGTCCCATGCCTCTGCACGACTCCATGTTCAACAAGGGCCATCGCGTCACTGCTTGATGGTGTAATTATCCTTCCACTGAGCACTGGCATTCATTGGTCATTTCCTTTATTTTTGACATTAGAACAGCTTTGGAATCTCTAGATTTAAGCTGGGTTAAAAATTCTCATCCCTTACCCTTTCAGAAGACGACAGTACCAATGTTATCTAGAGACAGGGTAGCGAACCTTACCAGTCGAATTTAAGTGAAGGATGGGCACTTCATAAGCCAAAAGGTGGCGCTGTTCGCTTCTAAGAGAAAGTAAGGCAGTATCTCACCTCCAAGTTTGAAATTGGTGAGCAATCTGGAAGGAAAGAGGATCTGCGACAAGTCTCGGAAGATATGAGGAAAGGGGAGGGGGAAAACGGGGAGCGCCTGTTTTCCCGGGAAGAGTGGCTAACCAAAGCCCAAATACAAGGATTTTTCTCCCGTTTATCCTCCTCAAGAAGGAGACGGGCAGGTCCGTCTCCGAGCACCGCGGTTGAAGTGAGTCACATGACTACCGTCCAATCAGTTGTAACAGAAATTGGCTTAACCCATCTGATTTTCTATGACATTAATGACTTGTGTGACTACGTCAAGGAGGAAAAATTGAACTATTTTACTGTTTCCATGCGTAAGGAAATCTGTACTTTCTTCGAGTTCCCATTTAAATCTACCTGCTCGACTTATGTCTGCTACGCTTCATGTTGACAAGTCCCTCAGAATGGCGGCCAAACTTGGAGATTGCCGAAAATTAGGTAAGTTCAAGGAGTTATAAAGTTTTAGTAAACGTCGGGGCGCGAAGTTGTCTTCTGTATTTACCTTTTCTGTGGCACCTACTTCCTAGCTATATTAGTTGGATCAACTAAGAATACCTCAATTTTTCAAAAGTTTACTTTGAATTTGATCGGTTTTCGCGTGTGTGACTTAAAGGAACCGATAAAGTGTCGTTCAAGTCTTCCTGTTTGCTTGATTGAAACGTGATGTTTACGAAAGTCGCCTCGATGGAGAAGATAGAGTTAATATACATGCCTGTGGTATTTGTTTTTTGCTGAGTCCTGTAGTGTTTTGTAAATTGTCCTCCAAAGTTGTCTCAAATTAAAGTCTTGAAAAGTGTCACGACAGGCCTTCGCTCGAGTGAAATTTAATTTACGTAAAACTCTGAAAAATAAAGAGATCCGATCAAATGGATTGTGGTTTTAGTATAGGCACATGAATATCTTACAACACACAAGAAATGAGCTAAATCTGTGTCTCAAGCAAAATCGACCGGACCGCTCTCACAGAGACACTCTTTTTATTTTAGGAGCAGTGACAAACGAAAACTGAGCTGAAAATTTAGAAATTGACCGTTATTGCGTGTTTAAATAGAAAAGACACTTTTGACAGTTTGTAGAATCCTTTTTCAACAGAACTGTTTGCTTGCCGAAACAAAAGTTCAACGTTTATCAGTAAAGGAGAACTTTAAGGTCAAAAGAATCTATTTGGCGACCATATTGTTTTTCTTCTTTCCAGGGGAGAGAAAGAGTCGTATGGTTCAGTCAGTAGTTGATCAAGTATAATAGTTCAAACGGCTTTGCATGGACCAAGCATGTAAGGGTATCAATGACTATTTGTGAGGTTTCCGTCTAGCTAAGATCAGCTAAAGGTTTAATTCTACAGAAAAACCAAAAACGTCACTGAAAACTGTCAATCATCACAGAGAGAGAATATATACTTCTTTTCAAGCTTGAGGCTCGAGTAATTGCGGAGGTAGCCTGGTGGAGGACAGTACTGTTTTCCAGTTCGAAAGGTCTGGGTTAGAATCTTCACTTAAGCAAGTAATTTTCTTCGTCGTTCATTTGTTTTTCTTTTTTTGTTTTTATTTACTTGTTATACGTTTTACCTGTGGTGCATACGGCCAGAAACATAATGTAATAAATTGAAAACAAAGTTCAGAGGAACATAAACAACGCCGTATGCATCTTACAGTATTTACTGCTATTTACAGGTCATCCTTGAAAACTGTCAATCACCATAGAGAAGGAGAATATACTAAAGTCGGATGGGCAGCGTTTACCGACATGGTCCAGTGGATAGAGGCATTAACTTTCAGTTCTAACTGATTCTGAGGGTCCGGGGTTCGAAACCTCTTGAAGCAAATTTTTTCTAACCTTATTTTTTTTTCTGTTTCTAATATCTCTTTCTTACTCTTTTTTACCTGTGAGGTGGGCCTGTGTGGTGCATGTAGCCGGTAACATAATGTGGTAATTGAAAGCAAGGTTTACAGGAATATAAAAAATGCGGTACGTATCATACCGTATGTACCGCTATTTTTTAGTAATACTGGCAAAACCGTATCTACCGGTATTTTTTAGTAATACTGGATGCTGCTATCACTACCCAGCTATGTGTGTGTGTGTGTTTGGGGGGGGAGAAGACGAGGTCTGGGATCGAGAAACGATGTTCTCACAACTTGCAAAATGGTCACCCTGCGTGGTGGTAAGCGGATAGTTTTTCCCACAGTAAATATTTTAATTGAAGCGAGGAGCGAACCGGAGGAGGAAAAGATTAATAAATGGAAAAAATTAAATCATGCATCTGTGTTTTTCTTGCATATCGTATTTGTCTTTTGGTACTGAAATCGAGGGGGAAACTAAAACGCAACCGTGTTAGATCTTAACCAACAACAACGGCCTCGACTGATTTATAGGTTGCATCGTTTTTGCAGGGTGAGGACATGAGAAGATTATAGAAGTTATGAAGTTGATAAAAATATTATTATTGGAGAAAGGGTCGAATTTATCGGAAGTAAGTATATTCAAGAGAGCCTTATAAATATGAGCTTACAGCTGAATAAACACTCACACTTCATAACATTTCACTTCGTTTATTACGATCACTTAACACCTTGAATTCAAAGTTAAAATTCAAAACAACCCTAACAAACCAATCACAACTACCACTGAAAGCTCTGTAACTTGAAGCGACCTTAACTTTCCTAAGGTTTTGCGGCAAAACACTGCTCGATAGCTCAACTCTGATCTTCGACGGTTCTTATCAGCTGTACGCAGCTATATGTTGCATATTCCAAACTATAGTTTAAATCAAACAATAAACTTGTAATCCACAAATCAGTTAACTTAAGGGCACATATGTGAATTTTGAGGGAAAGTTGAGGCTAAGTTATTTTAGAGTGAAAAAATTCTTACATCGAGTTGATAGCCCTATATGTACATCTTCGATCACATTTAAGAACCATAATGGCTCTTGATCACAGTAGATTAGGCCTGGAAAGCAAATTCTTGGAAAACAAATCAGGCCGAATTTTCTGCGTTCGACAAGTTTACTTTACAAAATCTTGCCAACAAACCTGGGTGCGTGTAAACCAACCCAATACTTTTTATACATCACATCTGAGGTGAAACGGTACTATGAGGCGCTGTTTTTATCATACAGACCTCAGACAAAATGCAGTATTTCACAGTTTTTCAAGACAAATTGCACTCATGCGATATTCAGAACCATCGTAAGCTTTTTGCGAAAACGTTCAAAAAATTTCCAAAATCACCTATACGGCCAGCCGGTTCTCACTTTTGACAAGCGCCAAATTTGCGGTGTTTAGTTTTTATTTAACGGTTTTATAACAATGTGTAATCTTAAAAAGCGTTTGATACACGCGGCATTTTGAGTACTCCTGTAAGCGATGTTTGTGAACGACTGAAAACAAACGGTAAAGCGATTAAAATTGCAAGAGACTACTAACAATCAATAAAAGAAATATCATTCGGTGAAACATTGACAGAGACAACAATTTTGATTGAGACGAAGACGAGTATTAAAGTGTCTCTAAAAATCCTGAGTCTTTCAGCTTAAACGTTAAGTTTATGTTTTAAGCCGGCTTCCTGGTATTTAATGTTTTCAAAGATGAACTCGAAGCAAGAAAATCGCTCAAAGCTTTCTTTCTACAGCCAAACTTATAACTAAATACTCTTTAGAACGTTTTTTCTTTCCGTTTGCAGTGAGAAAATATCGACTAAAGGCTTTTTAAAGTTCTGTAAGCTTAAATCAAACCTCATACTAGGTCAGATCATTGTCTTAAATCTTAATACAAACGTGCATAAACTAGCCTCATAGACTATGCTCGACTTCACGAAATTAGATATTAAAAAAAAAAAACAAAGAAACAAACAAACACCAAATTAATACAATCATTACTCAGGCTTACCATTCGAGATGCAGTTCCTGAAAGCTATCAAGTAAGGCCAGAATCGCTTGAGACTTTTCAACCCACAAACAGCAAAGTGAAAAACGAGAACGATGCGATCCGAAATCAGATTTCCGACTTTGACAAGCGGCGTATTTCTCAACCAAAAATTCAATAAACAAACCAACCATGAATAACAGAGGACTGTTGATAGCAGCTGTATTTCATTTTATGCATCCAGTAGAAAAAGACAGTTAAAAACATCACAAGTTGACAAAAAACTCTGTCAGCTTCAGCTGTCAAAGTAAACAAGTTTCAAGATGCTGTACGAATTTTCCGCATGAACTCACCTGTCAAATTTTGACCAATCAGAGCATAAAAATTGGACGTAGGTGAGAAAAGTGAAAAGCATCTGTCTTCCCTGCCTGTATTTTTAAATAACTGGCTGAATTCTCGCGTCCGAGATCAGTTTGAAATCAAAATGTTAATAGCGCGGGGCCATAGTGACATAAACACAACACCTTCTGTCATCATATCATTATTTTGCTGCAGTTCTCTTTGCCTTTATATTTCTCTTTCGCGTTGCCTTTGTCTATTCATTCTAGCTATGTCTCGATCTGCTTGCCAGCGTTCTTCACCATAATTTTCTCTCCTTCTTCTAGCCCTGACTCGTTCTGCTTGCCGGCGTTCATCACTGAAATTTTCTCTGTTTGCTCTAACCCAGTCTCGTTCTGCTTGCCGGCATTCTTGGCTGAAATTTTCTCCATTTGTTCTTGTCCTGTCTCCTTCTACTTGCCGACTGTCTTTGCTAAAATGTTGTCTTCTCCAGCTACTTCTAATGCACTCTCTTTGGTGATCGTCTTCGCTTGTTCTACGCTGCCCGGTTAGCTCAATGGGATAAGCGCCGGTTTGTTGAGCGGGAGGCCATAGGTTCAAACCCCGGCCGGACCAACACTCAGGGTCTTTAAATAACTGAGGAGAAAGTGCTGCCTTTGAAATAACATCTGCAAACGGTTTGACTTTCTAGTCTTCTTGGATAAGAACGATAAACCGTGGGCCCCGTCTCACAAGCCCTTGCACATGTAATAAAAAAGCTGTGGGACGTTAAAGAACCCACACACTCTTCTTAAAGGGTAGGGCACGTAGTGCCCAGTCTAGTGGTCTATCTCACTTTCACACTCATGTATGGGGGCATCATTACTCATTCCTTCATTACTTGTAAACTGTACCTTAAGCAGTCTCGCAAACTCCCCCAACCAGTGTTGTACATTACCCCTGAAAAGACCTGGGGGAGTGGATAATATGATATTTACACTTTACATTTACAGCCTGTTGACTCTCTTAGCTCTCTGCTTAAAACCTGTCGTCTACACGCTAAAATCTCTCTGCTCTTGTTTGTTGACACAATAGCTTTCGTAACTTGTAATAAAAAGTTATGAGGGCTCTGTCGAAAAACCTTTTTGCTGAGTTGCTTTGAAATTTCTTTTTCAAAACCAGTTGCGCGATAATATAATTGCGCGAAGTTGCGCCATGTGATTTCCCGCCAAAAAGATCTCTTATCTTATCTCTTATCACAAGAGTCCGTGCGGACTACTTTCCATCACCCAGAGAGTCCGTACGGTCGTACGTACGGACGGACGTACGGTGACATCATAACCAAATTTTCTCGGATGGATAGTTTACCAAATTTTCTTACCCATGGTGCTCCACTGCGCGCGCTTCCCGCACGCGAGAGCTCCGCTAATAATAATAATGACTTTATTTTAGTGTCGATGTATTTAGCTTAACAGTTAGCTAATTGGGGACACTACAAACTATGTCTGAGAAGCAACATAAAATCAATAAATTTGCGAATTACCAAAATATAATTATGAGAAACAGTCCTGCCTTGGGCTGCCATGTTTTTTGTTCCTTCTGAAAACCGTTGATCTATGGTTTTGACGTAATGCACATGATCAACACGCAAATCCGGTGGCAAGACCTTTGCTGATCGCTTTGGAAGTTGTGAGAACATCGTTTGGATTTCATTTAAGAGAATGTATGGGATGTAGTTCCCCCCCTCCCCGACCCAGCTCAATCGTCGATTTTCACATGTGCCTAATTTAATTCGGGAGGTAACTGCTTTGAGATGGGAATCAACTAAATTCGATAGTTTCAAATTAAATACGACTTTGTCGAATCTGCGACTGAAACAGTCGAAAATTCCACTTACCAGTAGGTTCAACATTTGATTTAGAAGTCGCATTTCACATGTGCTGAATATAATGCATTAATTGTAGAAGCCCTTTTCCATATTGGATAAAAAATGTTACTAAAGACTGGGAATATTTACCAAACACAGAGTTAAATTCGGCACCATCATATCCGACGTCTGAATCAACTGCCGTATTTAATTACTTTCATCGACTAAAATAGGTATTCGGCACTCATAAGAAATTCAACGTTCGGAAGAGGCGTAACATGACATAAGTTTTAGCTTATAGGTTTGCAGGCTGTTATAAAGTTGTTGTTTTCTTTTCAGTAACAGCAATTCGCACCTCTCTTTGTAAATCCATTTTATTAATCACCTTGTGCCGCGACTTAGTGTGCCGCGACAGCTGTAATAGTCGGTTTTACTTTCTTTTTGGCATGATTTGTATGTCACTAGACGTGATTTGTATATCAAAAAGAGTGATTACTTTAAGGTTTAAACTCGAAGCTTTATATAGTGTAAAATAATTATAATTTACTTTTACCAGTAAACTTGTAACAATAATAACAACAACAACAATAATAATAACAACCCTTTAGGAGTAATACGGTTTTAAATTGAACTAGACAGATTCAATAGTAACCAAAATATACCTGGTGACTGCCTCATCTCCAACAAACAAAACACATTTCTGTGATTTAGAAGCCAAAGAAACTGTCTGACAGTTAAGACCGACCTAAGTATTAAACAGATACAAGTGAGTAAGAAACTGTCAATATAGAAATGTGAGGAATTTGTGTGTTCCACCGTTTCTTATCATTTTGCGTTTTGATTACCGGAATGTTGAGAACATTGATAGTGAATAAGAAAGCTGAAACTCAATTATTTCTGGACCCACCCAACTCATTTCATGGTTTCTCGTCAACCCCCTTAAACTGATGCTAAAAAACGTCCCAGCCCATTTAGAGAACTGAACAGTCTCGAACTCATTAGATGTATCCAAGCTGGCGATCTTACCACAAACGAAGCGTTACCATATCCATGAAGCCTCGATGTGGTATCCTTATACACCACAATACCTATACAAGAAGCGATCACCAACGCTACAGATAGAATCCAGAACCAAATACTCCACCTCTCCAGACAAAACGTCTCACACCTCCTCCAAGTCACGCAAAACAAAAACATGTACTTCTCCTTCAGAAATCAAGTTTTTCATCAAAGAGAGAGCCTACCCATGGGTTCTAGCATTTCAGGCATACTGGCCATCCTGTTCATGGACAAACTAGATACCATCAACCTCTCCTCGCACCTAATGATAAGCCCTTACAAGAGATATGTTGACGACATTTATCTCCAAACAACTAATGAAGAAACAGCAGACATATAATAAACAATGTGCACCCTAATTTGAAATTTGAAATTGAAAAACCAGAAACAACACCGAGTGGCCTGTCATTGTCATTACTCAATTTCAAAGTCACCATATCCAAGGATGGCAACAGCTCTTTTGAATTCTACAAAAAGCCAGCCAAGAAACCACTATTTGTCCACCATCAATCAGCTATTCCCACAAAATCCAAACTCAACTTCATTCGCAATGAACGAAAACGCATCGAGGACAGATGCTCCTCACATATATCTGCAACACAACACCTAAACACATTTGATGACATCCTTCACCTTAATGGTTATCCCGAGAAAAGTATAGAGCAGACAAAACGCCCCCAAAAAACCCAACGAAACCCTCAACCTGCCAAAACAGAATGGTCGTACCTTAAGATCCCGTACATTTCTGAACGACTCAATCACAGGATCACTAACATTTTTAGAAAAGAAAACATCCCGCTACGCATTGCCCACAAATCCTACACGCTCAAACAAGCCCAATCCCACACCTCCACGGAGCGCAAATACACTAGAGACAAATGCCCTATCTCTAATGCCGGATTGTGTTTACGAAGAAATGCAGTGTACCAGCTCATGTGTAACAGCTGCGATCAGCAATACATTGGTAGCATGACACGTTTCATCCACAACCGCGTAAAAGAATATCTCAATAATGAAAACTCCTCTGTGAAAAAACATATCTATTCCTGCCAGAACAAAGACTATAAAGGCATTGAGGTCAAGATTATTTTGAGCGAGAACGACCCCGCTAATCTAAGCTTTATGAAGCATTTTACATTAGAAAGTTCAAGCCTACGCTCAATTCCCAGGAGGAATGTAGTGAATTCGAGGACCTTCCATTTTAGTATTTTATAGACCATTCTTAAGCGCTTTTAGAGGTCCTTTGTCTAGAGACATTCCATCATTAGAGTGTTGTATTCGATACACAGTTTATTTTTATAGCTTTCAAACATATGTCACGTCTTTTACACATCTCACCCTACACCTTCTTTGAATATATATAGCATGCGCGGAATATTTTCTCATCCCTGATGATGCCGTTGATCGGCGAAAGCTTGGATTTTACTTTTTTACACCGCAGTTTAAGGCCTCACTAGAACAGTTTTATATTAGCACTTATTTCTGAATGACTGGTAGTTAAGAAAAGTTCCTTAAAGTGTACAGATAGCAATTAAACTCAACAAGTTTACAATTTTTAAGAACAACAATCTGAAACCTTTTGTTACTTCTCCATACGAATTTAACAGTTGTAGCATAGCAGCCATCATTATGAATGAATGAAATGTCGTAGATGGAAGGCCAGTGATCTAGACTAGATGCACAACTGCTTAGGGGATTAGTTAGGGGCAACGTCAAGGTAAACAAAGAGAAGGATGTTACCGCGGGGCAGAAAAAGGAAGAAATGCCCTGAAGATAAACCTTAATAGATGAATGGTTCAAATCGTTGGCCAACATTGTGGGGAAAGGTGCACAGCTATCTCTTCACAGGTTGGGGGAAGAAACCATCTTGGCCAAAACACCCGTCCTGATGGCAAAAACTGATATAGCAACGTAAGGCAGATGGATAGAACTGAGTAGTTGATGGTGCAAGTCTTTGGTTGAGGAGGAACTAGCAATTCCATGCCAAGACATCTTAATAGCCGACAGAGTGAGGATAGACTCGGGAATGGTGTTAATGATAGTCAATCCCGAGAACGGTTAAGCTAGTAACAGGTACCTCCATCTTGTCAAGCCCTTATAAACTTGAACACAGGTTTGGAGGTTGTTATGGCACACAGGGGAAAACGGGGGGCCCAGGGTAGGAGACTCATACAGATAGTGATGAACGAAGTTGACCCCAAAGGGGAGCACCATTTCCTCGAAATATTGCCCACGCCACTTGCTCCCAAGGAAGGGACAATTCGTGAGGGTATATTGCTATTTTCCTGTAGGCATTAGCCAAGTCAAACTTAGCCATTAACACTCTAAGGCCACAGGCCATTTTGCCATAATGAATGCATCAACTGAAATATACTCAACAGTGAAAGGCAGGTTGGGGATCAGATCATTTATGCTGTGACTCTCTGGAAATGAGAGCTCCACGATGCCACTTACCATGCTGATTATTCTTGGAAATTCCTCCGAAATGGCTAATGGTGCAAAGAAGAAAGAGGTGGGGATAGGAAAGGATCAGCAACACTGTTAGCCAATGGCGAGACCTCCAAAACTGCGGTTAGAGGGAAGAATGTGTCAACTAGAACACTACATAGAACGGGAACAGAAAACGAACTTGCTGCAAGTGGCAGTCTATGCTATTAGCAACAAAACCACGGTATTTAAACTATATGCAAAGCAACCACTTGGCACCTCATACCTTCCCCCTTATCCCACAAGGGAGGGACAACGGAAGTGGAAGCCGCTACAATAGGGAAAAGGGCAGTGAATCTTGGGGTGCTCTCTGTCACAGTTGCTGGATTCCTGGTGAGACATGTATCTACCAAACAGCCACCAGAATTGACCTTTATTCCATGAGGCAAAAAGGAAGAAGCACGCCAGGGTCTAAGCTGTCTGTGAAAGAAGGAGAGGACCAGGGAGAAGTCGTCTGCACTGACCGAGAGCCTGGCATAGGCTATAGGAGAAGAGAATGGCACCAGTAGCCAATGAGAAGGTGCCTGAGGTTGTAAAAGAAAATTGTACAAATCCAAATCAATTTTTTACAAATTATAGAAATCAAAATCAAGTGGTTAAGGCCTGAGACAGCAACATCAATCCGAAATACAAGATGAAGCTCTAGCCTCACCGTACCACTGAACTGACAGGTAGACCAAATAATATAAAGCAGTTTGTACTTAATCAAATCTGACCAGTGGTGCAGGTGTACCAGTCAGAAGATCAGCTGCAAAATTGTGAAAGCAGTTTACCTTCCAGGAAGATCTTAGGCTCCTGCTCCGATCCATGGATGTTGGCAGACAGCAGGTTGGCCACAAACTGACCATCTGTCATCTTATTGACAAATCTCACAGCAACAGGCACGTGCAGTGAGAGGACTTATTAGCCTTTGGCCGCAAGGTAGAAGTCACCAAACACAGCAAGCAACTTACAACACTGAATAAAGTCGAATTGATACAGCAGGGCTGAGTGGGACTGTGCCAACCGAAAAGCAGAACAAGTTGCCTGAGAGGAGGTGTTCCCCTAGCCTGAATTTCATCCCATTACTTCGAGTCGTTATTACTCCCTCAGTAACGTCTGAATCGACCGGGCGTTAATGCCGTCCAGTGACGTCACTACTCCCTGACAGTTGCTTTAATTCATGCAAAAAGTAAAACACGATTTTCAAGTGGCAAACCGAGAAATATCGTTTGGAAATGTCTGCATGATACAGAATTGCTTTATTTTTTCGATCGTAATTCATGTTTAACGTTCAAACTATCAACTGCATGCAGTACAACACTGAACCGGTTGTACTGAATTCTATAATCAAAGTCGGTCGCAATCTTGCAATGAAATAAACACACACATGAAACACTTAGTTCAAAAACACAATGATTTGCTTCAATTGAAAAGAAGCTATTTGGTCCTTACCGAAGAAAAAAAGAAGGAAACAAGAAAGAAAAGCTAACAGAATCATTACATCTGGCGGTGAAAATAGCAAGAAGGTCGAATTATAACATTGTTCTCTGAAAACTTCGCGTAAACAAAATTACCGGCCGCCGAAACCACAAAGCGGCTCTAAATGAAAAACGTACCGACTCTCCGCAATGATTCTTCATTCGCAGTTCAATTTAGCATTTCAGTTTCGAAGACAAGGGCAATTTTGCTGTTTAACATAAAGATTAAGCTTATCGAAATGTTTGAACTACACGAAAGAATGCCATGCCAGGGATGCGATCCGCTGAATATCAAGCGACAATCCCGCTAAGATTTTTCATAATTACACATAATTATGCGAATGTTTAGACAATCAACCAATCAAAATCACTACCCGGTTTTTGGGTAGTGAGTGACATCACTGGACGGCATTAACGGCCCGTCGATTCAGACGTTGTTGAGAGGAGAAAACTCGAAGCAATCGGATGAACTTCAGGCTAGTGTTCCCCTTCATCGATGAAACTGATAAGCTCAAAGTGCTCACCCTGTCAGACACCTGGCTAAACAGCTCCATAACCGACCTGGAACTCGAAATTCCAGGTTATGATGTCTATCAGGTCGATCGAAACACCAAGTCAGGCGGCGGTGTGGGTGCTTAGGTCCTGCAAACCTACAAGGTCAAGATGATTGATGACCTATTTAACATCTCGGACAATGGTCCACATCAACTTTGGATGAATCTTCAGGTCAGAAACCTGAAGTCAATTATAGTCTGTACAATATATGGGCCACTTGTTAGTCTGCTAACCTGCTTTGATACTGACCTATCAAACTCCAAGCTTGGGTTCTGCCTCTTAACTAAACAAAGCAATTTATATACTCGGGGACGGAAAGTGCAACATACTTGAGCCAGATTGCAGAGAAACCATCCACCTTGGCTAATTTTTGTCATTGCTTCAATTTATCCAAGCTGGTTTTGCGACCAACTCGAGTAACTAAAACTACTATGTGATTATAACATCAAACCCTCAACAAGTTATTGAAACTGGTGTTATGCCAAGCTCGATAAGTGATCATGATCTACCCTATGTGGTTCTTCGGTTAAAGAGGGAATGTCCTAGATCAACCTACATGACTGCGAGAAGTTTCAAGGGATACAAAGCCGATTGGTTCTACAAAGATCTGTCGAACGTTCCTTGGTCCTTCTTAGATATTTTCGATGATGTAGAGGACAAACTGTATGCTTTTCATATATTATTTAATGATATATTGGATGAACATGAACCGATCAAAAGGATTAAAATACACGCGTGCCCCAATCCTTATGTTACTGAGGAAATTCAAGCCCTTATGCGAACAAGAGATCAGTGGAAGAAAGGAGCCAAGAAAAGCCAAGATCCCTATGCCTGGTCGCAACATAAGACCTGTTGCTGAAGGTAAAGTGAGAAATTCGGCCGGCAGAGAGAGAACATGTAAAGCAGCAAATCCAGAACAATAAAAACAATACAAATTGCATATGGAAATCAATCCATGCATACCTGAGAAGTCAACTACCCAGAGAAACTACAGCAAAGATCATGAAAGCCTGGCTAATGACTTAATCATTTCTTCGCAAGTGTGGGCGAAAACACCATCCAAAAAATAACATTGAACTTTACATTGCCAGGAAAAGAGGCACATCAAATCACAACGTTTCATTGAGGCCATGGTAAAAGTCGTAAGGGGTATCATGGGGAAGGCTGAAGAGTTGGGTTCTGATCCACATCCTGCAATGCTGATTTGTCGTGCGACCCCAATCAGACCAGGTCAGCTCAGCCCTGGAGAGAGATGCTCACCCAGCAGAAATATAGAGCACTTGTAACTACCCGTCAATATCTGCATCCCAATCTAGGGATCGACCGGGATCAGTAGGGAATAGTGGATAGCACAGAAACAAGCCCAAAGGTGATCACTACGATTACACAGCTAAGCAACTTTGAGATATACTCCATTTATATTTCACAAACGTCGGTATTTCAGAACTCATACAGTGATTGAAAACCAACCACAAGAATTAAACCAGGCCCCAGTCATTCCTAGAACATGAACAAAGCCACCAAGGCCTGACCAGTCAAGCATCAATGAGCTCAACAACAGCTGATGTCGCCAAGCAGGCACCACCAAAGCCATTGCTAAGACAGTGTGCCAGAAAAAGCTCCGGTTGGCATTGCATTGTCTTACCCACAACGAGCTATTGGACCACCTATGCAGCTAACTGAGCAAATTTAGAGACACTACAACAAGATAAC